ATTTGATAGAGCCCAATAGGCTCCAGAATCTGAGCACCAGATTCTGAGATTGACAGTCGAGAGGCGGGACCAAAGAGCCAAAACTCAACCCCCGCAAGCACAACTAAATTAGTACTCACACACATGAGGCCTCACGGCTGGGTGGACAGCGCTAGGGGGTCGTAATCCTAATGACCCGGGTTTGACTCCCGGACAAAGCTGAAACAAAGGGCTAAAATTTCTTCCACCTGATGCGTCTGTTCATCTAGCAGTAAATAGCTACCTGGGAGATAGCCTGCTGCTGTATTCTGGGGATGTGTGTACGCATATGTCAGAGATATATATAATTAGTGGATATGATAGAGGAAAATAGGCAAGTAATGTGATTAAACCCGACGGTTAGAAGGGCAAAAAGCATATCTAACATTCATGCAACTTCATAAGTACATGCAGCGTTGCATTGTCATGATTACTGCCTGTGAAGTATGGTTGGAGATGTATTCACAGCCTCGCAGCTCCACAAGTGTGGTCAGTAATGTATTTCCAAGTATGCTGCTTGACAGTTTTGGCCAGTGATGTATTTCCCGCCATAGAAGAATGATATCGTACTCTTCATTGTACTGACTTTTCCATCCGATATCCTTCCATGAGAGCTTAAAGAATAACGAGGTGCTGTCGGAACCTTTTTGAACTCTAAAGAAAACACTAGGACTAGTTTTTAGACGTGGAAGATGCTATAGAAAGGTATGTTATCTTACAAGTGTATTGAGAGGATATGTGTATCGATTATTTTGTTGTAGATTCTGTAATGTTTTGCCATTTTTTTCTGCCACATGACGCAAAACGTTGAACGTCATTCCCCTGCAGCAGTGGCAGGAGCAACATTTCTTTTCCCAAAGAGGCTCACCGTGCCTATGGGATCAGGTGAATTTCCGTTCACGTCTCGGTTCACCCAATTTCATTCATCCTATGATCGGGTGGATTCTTGCTTCTTTGGATTTTGACAGAAACGCAAGTTGTGTCGGAAAGTGCGTTCTATCCTACAGCAAAAAAATAAATTAGTCAATATTAATGGAAGAGACATGTGTCGAAATTGTAGCAATATTTATAATTTCTCCGGTGGCTGTGAAAGTTCTCGGAAACTTTCTCAGGATATCAGAAACCAAGAACTTCTAAAAACCGGCTGGGATAAGTGTCCTCTCAATTTCTCTCCAATATAAAATACCATATATGCAACCGAACCAACTTCTATTTTAATTTGTTTGATATACACATATGAAGTGTGTAACTTTCAATCTAAGTACATAGGTATGACGTCGACCAAGCTCACGAGGAGTCTGACCTGTCATCATCAATCAGGTGTTTCTAAAAAACACATGAGAGAATCCTGTGACATCACCATAACAAGAGAAATGCTGAATAAAAAATAAAACTGACAAAATCCAAGATATAAGAAGATTGCAAAGTCTTGACATGAATTTGGGGGGAAATTCACATAACGTCGATCAACCCACCTTAAATACCCAAATTACGCACCTGTTCACTCTACCCATCATGAGTGTGAGAGCGGCAGCGGAACGCGAGGATGCCAACGATGACATCTCTGCCCAAAACCTCATGCTCACTACACATAAATAATCTTTGTAGTCTTTGTAATCTTTGTAATCTTTGACCTATTCCTCTTACCTTGACTCCTCATCCTTTACCTATATGTATGTACCTGACCTCCTAGCATTACAAATACTCTTTTGTCTCCGCTCCTGGGTCAGGTAAGTCCACTACGTGCTCTCCATTCTCCATTGCACGTCCTACTTGCAACTTTTTGTTCCGAGTAGTTGAATCTAAAACAACAACAACAACAACAACTGTCTCCTCACTTGAGAATGAACCTATATATATATATATATATATATATATATATATATATATATATATATATATATATATATATATATATATATATATATATATATATATATATATATATATATATATATATATACCTATATATATTTTATATTTAAATATCTGTTTGAAGTTAACATGTAAATTTGTATTACATTATATGTTTATATGAAATTATAACTCTCTGATTAAAATAAAACAAAACATCGTGTTTTTAGAAGCACGCTGTTAACAGTTTAATTACCATGAGAGTCAAAAGGATGTAACTATGACATGCTTTTCTCATTAACTATATATGAAACTGATTGTTGCATCTGCTACATGATGTCATTTATATATATATATAACATTATTATTTAATTACATTTGTGTATAAAAGACTAATGCGTGTATGAAATATCTGAAAAACGAATAATACCCTAAATTAGAGATCATCAGTAAAATTGAACATCATCCCCAATGGTACTCTTTCCAAGTTTAAAGAGTAATGTTTACAATGACACTGTCTCCTGTGCTAGATTGTAATAATATTTCTTCTTGCACTATCTTCAGGTCTAAACTGAAATATCGCTCGAGACACCATTGAAGAATCTTGACTGTAAAATTTCTGCAGACTTTATGTATAAGATTAGACCAACAAATCTCCCGGAATTATTTCCAAACTTAAATTACTTAAATTATAATCTCTCTCATGTCATTGAATCTATGACAACATCGTCCCGATCACCTTCACAGTTTCTCCAATAAACTATATAAATTATTATGAAATCGATTCCAACTGTAATGCTGAGGATTTGAACTTTAATAATTAATTTTTATCCCCTTACCACCAACCTATTTTCCCTCATCGAAACTCAATTTAATAAGCATTCTTGCATTGCCCCTGTTTCCTTTTCTCTAAAAAAAAAATGTAGAAGCAACGATCAGGCAGGCTTCTGTAAAACACAGGTAATGAATGTTGCGCCAATCGATTTCCCAATATTTTCAGTGATTTTTTATATATATATTTTTTATACGCTTGCAAATTAGTTTGCCGACATCAGAGTGTTGTGCAGGAATGTGATCATTGGGGCGGGGGAACGACTGACATCCTCTCGTTATGACGCTGTCACGATCAGTTGATTGGAGAGCTGGCGACATGTGTGTATGTGTGTGTGTGGGTGTGTATTAGTGTGTGTGTTTTTCTCTGAGTGTAGAGGATATTTGTGGGGGGAGGTGTTCTGAGAGTATGTTTGTATTTCTGTGTGAATATTTGAAATGTATGTGTGTGTACTCAGCTATTTGTGCTAGAGGAAAGAGAGATTTACAACTCAGATTCAGATATGTTGAAAAGAATTGTCATCTAGAGCCTGTTAGTTTGATTCATTTAATTTATCTGCTACTCTTACTGAAAATAAAAAAATAAAAAATCTGACACATTTATGGCTTATCTGTTTCTCAAGTATTCATCTAATTATTATTGTGTATTAATATTGTTCGTGTACGTGCTTAAGTACGTGAGTCCGTGTTTGTGAGTTTGTGTTTATGCTTACTATTTTTTCCTGCTGAATCGAGCTACTAGTTCTTGGACCCCTTCCCTCTAACTAATGTATTTTTTCTCTAATAAATCTATTACATATTTCTTGATATATGTGATAAGATTGGAATGCTATGTACATCAACCATTTACCTGCAATTTGTGTATACGTTGCAGAAAAAAATTAAATAAATAGATAACGTAGCATATCGTAATCACTCGTCTGGAATGTGTGGGATATTTTGTATAAAGCAAATGATGGAAATAGCACTAATTCCTAACACATACGTTTGTGGCTTACTGAACAGATTAGGGTGTTTATGGTGATTGTTGCTGCCATTCTCCAGAAATCTGTGGAGATGAGTAATGAAATTAGTGATTGATTGTTAGTGTCTGTAGCGATTTTCCAGCGAAATGTGTGTAGTTGAGCTGAATAATTAGTGAATAATTTTAGCTTATCGTTGACGTTCCTCTGATTTATTTTTTTTATTGGCGTATATTCACCTTTTGGAAGTAAGAGCTCAAACTTCTTATTTTTCTTTTGAAAAAAAATCGTATGTGTGGAAGACAAAGTGCATGTAAAAAACGATGATTGTGATTCTTACGTCCTATTAAGCCATGGATGAGAAAGTCTCTTTGAAAGGAAATGCGAAAAGAAATCATAACAGTAAGAGGAAGGAAGGATATGTGACAGATTACTTGGTAAGTCTTTGCTGTCAATTGATTTGTGGCAAATTACGAATCAAACAAAAATACCCAGCACTCATTTATGAAAAAAAATATATATGTGTATATCCATCACGAGTAGAAACATCCCGTCACGTTTCCATCGGATGTACCTTCCCTGCAGAACTATACTGATGAATATTAAAATTTGAAATGTGTTGCATATACGGTTATGTTTTGGAGATGGTGCAGAAGCTCACTGGGTCAGGCACGGTGCATATCAACCCCCTGCTAATTCCAACCTACGTGTGTCATGGCTCAATAGAATGCATGGCAAGTATTATGGAACAAAATGTAAACATGTGCTCTCAGACTGCAGGTCGGGTTTGGAAACCTAAATGTATAATAATTATGTGGAATATCCGTAGATGCGACAGATAAATTGTGCTATATATTTACCATTCATGAAGGCTGCGTGAATTTCCTTTGGGATTTGCATCTGTCTGTTTGAATATTGGGAGTCTGATGGATTTTATGCAGATTCTAGGCAGGTCGTGTGTCTTTAGTGAGCTATTGAATTATTATTCTCCTACTATTATGTCACCCTTTACCTTAATATTAAATGGTTCTTTAAAAACGTGTGGCTAACAGATCTCACTATAGCCAAGGAATTGAAGAAAAAAATCTTTGCATGTATTAAATGGTTAGGTTGACTGTTTAATTTCACATATACATTTATTTATTTTTAATACGTTCTTCTGATAAATTGCCATTTTGTGGTCCCTTTCCTTTACATATTCCCATGTTTAATATGTATTTATTACCTAAGCCATCTATTTCATCTCGTGCATTCACAGCTATTTTTTAGGTATTTGCTGTCTATATATTCACATACACGTACATGGAGGTCAGAAAACACAATGTAGACACAGACCTTGGCGGAGTCGTAGGTCCAGGAGCCGAACTTCATGTTGCACTTCTGGTCATCGAAGGGGTACCAGGTAATGTCGATGCGACAAGTGGAGAAGAAGATACCAGGTGGGATGTGGGTACAAAGACCCGAGCTGGCTACCACCACGTTCGTCGGGTACGTGCTGGAGAAACCCTCATCCGCACTGGTAAACAGAGAAGGGGAGAGAGAGAGAGAGATAAATTTTTATTAGTTATGAGATGATGAACAATGAGATGGGTGAAAAATCTCTCTATTCCACAATACAACTGAGAGCTGTGATCACTTGAATGATCTGCAATTTCCTCACAAACTATTCAGGGCAAACTACCACACACAAACTCACCAGTTTCTGTAATAAATAAGCTTGGATCAATAAGTTTGTGAAGAGGAAAGCGGTCCCTAGCACCTCTTAATTTCAATTTCGCTCGTTGGGAAGTAGCTTAAAATATTAAGAAATAAAATAAAACGGTCTCCAGCTCAGTGTGGAGTACACATTCGCAGGCTGAACATTGTACATTTCTCCTATTGATATAAATGTATGATTTGTTTTATTCCAATTTGTGCCACTTCCCATTAATATTATTATTGAAAGTTATATATTTAATTCCTATTGCCAATGTTCGCCTTCAGCAGTCTACCACGCCTCACTCTTTTTCTCTAAATTCTTTTCGTGGATATTCAAGGCTTTTCACTATTAACCACATCATAATATCATTTAATTTCCCGTGTCTTTCAAACATATATTACTGTTCTTTAAAATAAATATCTCTATTCTTTTATTTTTCTCTTTCACTGTGTTATCAGTGCTCCGTTACTTTTTCGCCTTCATTCTTGGAAAATTTTAATTTCTGAAGTATAATACCCTTTTCAGTTAAAAAGAGTTAGGCTACATTCAGTCTTCGTTTTAATGTCCATAATTTACAGAGAAGAATTTATCATTAGAATTCCTCCTTGTCATCCATCACCAGCGTTCAATTGTTCTTTATTCAATTCATCATTGTTATTGTTTTTATTCATTAGTCAAATATCTATATTTTTTAAATTAATATCAATAGTTATTTGTAATCTGCTCTGATTATTGCTTTATTAACATAAATTTTGATTAACATTGTTCAGTTATATGTTACTGCTTAAATTTTCTTCTGTATATTTGTTATGCGTTCTCCTGTACAGCTTCAACAGTGCTCTATACTCTCCGTACTTCTTCTACTGTGTTCTTGCACCAGTTGTAATGAGTTCATCATCTGTTCTGGTGTCTTTCAAATCACTTTTGTTGTGCTTCCGCAGTGACACATCCACCACTTCCACGTCTCATCATTCTTTTGTTTTCATCTCTCCACTGATCTTATTCTTCGTGCACGCCTTTTTACAGGCTTTCAATTGTAAAATGGGCTGTTTAATATTTCGTTTTCTCACAGTTTTAGATTTAGAAACAAAACGATAAATTTGACAGGCAAATGATTACATTTCCATTCCGTATTCAGTTCATGCTGGGGCTGATAATTACTAACTCCTTTTTAAATGAAAATTTTGCCGTCCATTTTCTGATATATTTTTCTTTGTAATTATTAAAAATGTCGAGTGTACTCTCTGCTTCAAGTTCATATACTCTAGTTGATTTCCAAACGGTAATCTTTATGATAACTTGCAGGCGATGAGTCACAATAACGTGGCTAAATATCTTGACCAGACCACACACTAGAAGGTTAAGGGACGACGACTTTTCGGTTCGTCCTGGACCATTCTCAAGTCAATTGTGATTAAGTTGACAATCGACTTGAGAATGGTCCAGGACGGACCGAAACGTCGTCGTCTCTTCACCTTCTAGTGTGTGGTCTGGTCTTCATGATAACTTGTCATTATGTTTTAAATTACTAGTCGTCAAATTACGCCTTATTGCCATCAAGATTCACACATCATAGCGTTTGAGGCGCTCGTGTTGAGTTATGCACACTCGTTCTCACCTTCGACTCCCTCTTCAAGTTACAGATACTGATTACAAAATTCATCAGGTGAAACTCCTCGCTCCTGGCTGAACGAGTAGTATGTAATCAGCAGCTACAAAGCGCAACTGTTCTTCTGTCTTGTCATTAGTACTTCACCAATTTAATTTAGTAAAGTGACGAAGACGGAGAGGTGTACTCTGCTTCTCGGTGCATATACACTGTGAGTTTACGTTTGTCCTGAACTATGATCAAGGTTTAGGTATAGTTGTTGGATGGTAAGTGATCTGTTGTAGTGACAAATGTAACCTTCCGGCCTAAGGGTTAACCCTCCTGCCTAACGACAAGGCCTAAGCCGAACATCAAACAAAGTCGGTGTAAAAGGAGGAACTATCACGCTTGGAAAAAGCTTTTAGTACGATGAGAGCCTTTAATACTGCTAGGATATTCTTTATTTAAATGTTGAGGATAATCCATAACTATTTAAGCTATTTTTGTTCAAATGCGATCAAGTAATAGGAAAATTTTTGGTATTTAGCTTTATACTTACAATAAAGTTGGAGAGCCGAGTGACATAATGATTTATTATATTGAGAAAGTCATAGTTAGAAGCGATTTTAGGAGGAACAATTATCTGTCTATTTAGAGACTAAAATTTACTACCCACACTAGGAAAACTAGTTAGAAATGGCAATTATGGAATAAAACGTGACTTCATAAAATCGGTAAGTGAACCGTGGGTTGCAAAACCCGTAGACTATTTTCATGGCGGTCGAAGTGATAGCAAAATTTTTTTTATTGCCAGTGACATTAAATTGGAAACAACTTTAAGTAAAATGATAAATATGAGATGACTGGCTTCACTTGGCAATGGAAAAATAAATGGTTCTCCTTTGTAATCAAAATATTTATTTCAGTTCACTATTGGCATGCAATATTTAAATATGCGCATTATTCTGATAAATCGTTTTACTTTAGTTCGATAGTTGTGGCAAGTGCTTAGAAGAACTATATAATTCAACTAGAAATTCCATCATAACAATTATTTCTAAATATATGAATTGTTTCAAGCCATTAATTTACGAATAGAATAGTTGTCACTGAGCAACAGAGCACAAATGTTTCGATTCAAATGTCACAGTATGAGGAATGAAGTTAATGAAAGTCTATTCATGCGTTGCCAACTTCCTGAAACATTTCTCTCTGCTGAAAAAAATTATAATATCAGTGCACGAATGAAATCTATGAGAAGCACCCAACCTACACTTCTCATAAAAAAATGGCTAACAACCAAATAAGCAAGCAAGAAAAGTAAGGTTGCATACTTGGTAATATAACTTTTCTCCCTAGATAATTTTGCTTGCATATAGAGTAAATCGATAAATGCATCGAAAGCTGTTTCATATGCTTAACTTTCAGCTATAAAAAATGCAATTCCGTCAGAGTCACAAAACCTAATGGAAATGTTTGTTTTTCTCCAAAAAACACGAAACAGATTATTTTTTTTATAAAATTCTATAAAATACTTGTATTAAGATTTTCGAAAATGAATCAAGAAGGCTGCCTATAACATCAATCAAGACAATCAGAAATTTTATTTTATAAGCTTTCCTATGCTTGGAACAGGTTAAAAAATTGAGAACATTTTTAGATGCTCTAATTTAGTTCCGTGTTTAACAAGAAGCTGGAAGTTCAATCAGAAGCATTATTTTAGTTTGGGAATACTCACCAGATTCCAGCTTCAGTCCACACAGACGAAACTAACAATGGATTTTAACTTAATGCTGCTTGTGATTCCGTGATTAATACAAGTGAGGTGTATTGTTCCTCACGCCAATAGTACTATTTCATTCTTTTTGGAACATAATGGAGATAAACTCAGTGGATTGAGGCCGATTCGGGCGACTAGCAAAAAACTTTATGGATATGTGATATAAGACATCAAAAGAAAGATGAACCACTATACTGTCACTGATCAAAGTTAACTCTACAAAACCGGTTCAACGTCTTAAAAAAACGTACAAGTACATTGATAACTCGTAAGACGAATTACTGATTCCAGGGGAAACAAAGATGAAAAAAGTGCCAGTAACATGTCCGAACAGAATATACCTCACTATTTACTGCAGGAACAAAAGTTCTTCCAGACGACTGTAAGGAACTGCATTGTCAAATAACGAAACATATTGGAAGAGACAAAAATGCTGTCTATGCCTTAATATGCCAACCTCACAATTCCCAGCGATTGCAATATACAGTCTGAAGTATGACACCCTTCATTTCTAGACACAATGGGACAATCTTCAGGTATATCTTGACCAGTAACGTCATACATTCTAAACAAAGCGAAGACAGATATTTAGACATTGCCAGAACATTTAACATCAGGGACTCTCATTCTGGCATCAATATCCAGCTAACATTTACGAATGTACTACCATTTTTCACAAGACCATAACTGAACTAGAAGATATATAGATGGCATATATATATATATATATATATATATATATATATATATATATATATATATATATATATATATATATATATATATATATATATATATATATATATATATATATATCCAGGAGTTTTTCTGTCTATTTGTTCGAGGTTTGATGCCAGATACTTGGGGTTTCAGTAACCAAATTTTCACATTAATTGCTATAACGTACATGCACAGCATAGGCTGGTCGGGATAGACTTAAGCCATATTAATTTGGGTATCAAAATCGCTAATGACCAGTATCTCCACTATTAGTTTTATTATTTTGCTATATTTTATGATATCGTAAACTTCTATGCAGTCAGGAAACCAGCGGATAAAATGAGATTCAATTCATTATACTTGGGCTGTAGTAGATATGTATATGCGCTCCTCAGCAGCACCAAGAACTCTCAATGTTGAATAATCTAGCTGTCCCCTGCGTCAAAATCAATCATGCCTCCTAATCCCAGACACCACACATCTAGGCCTGTGGGAGAGTGGAACAAAGAGAGAGAGAGAGAGAGAGAGAGAGAGACAGAGAGAGAGACAGAGAGAGAGAGACAGAGAGAGAGACAGAGAAAGAGAGAGCCAGAGAGAGAGACAGAGAAAGAGAGAGAGAGAGAGAGAGAGAGAGAGAGAGAGAGAGAGAGAGAGAGAGAGAGAGAGAGAGAGAGAGAGAGAGAGAGAGAGAGAGAGAGAGAGAGAGAGAGAGAGAGAGAGAGAGAGAAA